AATAATATAAAAGTATAATATTTTTAATAATTCTATCGAAATAAACTTGAAAAAACCGACCCAAAGAAAACCCTAAAAACAAAAAACAAAGAGAGCATTCTCGTTTAGTTAACCTTTGGCAATGGGCCCTTTGGGGTGACCAGTCTGTAGTATGAACCGTCTGGGATGATTTTACCTTCTTCTCTGAGCTTTTGGAACTCTTCTTGTCTGTATGGAGTGAAACCCCACTTGTTTGAGACAAGTAATTTTTGTCTGCCTGGGAATTTGTAGCATGCAAGTCTGAATGCCTTGATCATTGGCTCTAAGCATGCCTTCTTGCATCTTCCTGAAACTAATATTTGGTTGACTTTAACACGAGCGCATGTACCATAAGACTTACCCCAAGCTCCTCTCATACCAGTCTGCAGACGATCGGCACCAGCACACGAAAGCATCTTATTAATACGGAGAACGTGATATGGGTGGATTCTAACTCTGACGTGATAAGTGTCTTTACCAGCATACTTCATGAGTGTCTTGTTGATAGATACACGAGCTGCCTCCATAGCCTCTGAAGAGATGTTCTCGTGCTCTAACCCTACAATGTGGACGCAGGATGGGAATTCATCAACGCTGGCTTGTCTGTTTCCAATATCAAAAAGTCTGATACGTGGATCTGGAACACCTCTGCAGTACTTAGACTTTGGGTATGGATGCCCACGAGTCATTCTGTAACATCTTCCTGGTCTTCTTCCCATAGTACGAGTGGCCTCTTGCTTTTCTTGTTCCAAGTTCTTCAATTAACCCTCGCACTTTTTTACTATTTTTTTTAACTCTTTTTACTATTACTACTACTCCTCATACTTCCCTTATAACAAACAAATAACATTTTCTAATTGTGTTGATGTTTCTTTTATCACTTTATAATATATTTTACTAGTATTTATTAACAAAAATTGCCCAATAATATTCATTTGTTTTTTATAATGGACGTTTTTTAATAACAATTTTGTTTTAAAATTTTTTTAAATTTAATAAAAAATTTAATAAAAATGTTACAAACACTACATAAAAATACATAAAACCTCAATTTACTACGAATAATAATTCAATTACAATACTCATTTAATAATCTTAATTTATCACAAAAAACTTAGTAAAGAACTATAAAAATAGAATAATGGTGTGGACACTGTATCACCCCTCATTCACAAAGCCAATCAATTTGTTTAATGGTGAGAAGTGTTGTATTGGAAGATCACCAAAGGAGGCTGACGGAGTATATACAATCACAATGACACATCACAGCATCAGTGGGACACATTTAATGTTGGTGGTGAGAGAATATAAGGAAGAAGACCGGATTAACCCAATTCAAATTACAGACCTTTCAACGTTTGGAACATATTTGGGTGAGTCGAAAGACAGAATGCACAAAGGACAACACTACACTG